TTGAAATGGTTGGAACAGTTAAACTGAATTATTTTGATGGTAATATGATGTCAAGTGGAAAGCAAAAGATTAATAGTTTTATAAGATTCTCTTCACTGACGTGCGAGGCGAATTGGTTTGTCGCTTCTTCATTAGTTAAGCAGGCAAACCTCTGCACAGTTTCATGCCTCTAACTTCACAAACCAAGCTCACATCTCCAGATTCGGTCAGAGTAAGTCTTGAGTTCAACATGTCATTATGAACATGTTCGTACCAGCATGAAATAAGCCTGAAATCCAATGGTATTTTTAACAGTGAATGGGTGTGGCCTTTCTATTTAAACACAGTTTTACTGGAACATAAACAGTTCTTATGACAATGATGTTGTGCACCTTTACTGACAATAGGAAATTAGAGGCACATTTTTACTGAATGTGAAGTTAAGGTACTCTTCAATGAATGAGAGGAATTTAAATATATCTGCTTTGGTACCTTTGTTCTTTAAGTGAAGTGGAAACATTTTTGGACACAAAACCCCTTCCCTAAGTTTCATTGACAACAGTGTGGGTTCATGAAACCTAATCTCACACCTTTCATCTGTCTTACACAAAAAGAAAACATAATTAAAAAAAAAAAACTTAAATCTTGTTCTGCTTTAAATGCAAATTACATGTCAAAATAACCTGGCGGCCTGTCATGTTGGTAAAACTACTGCACCACTTAAGAGCTGTAATATCGAATATGTTTTACTCCAAGATAATATGCTACAGGAACCCAGTGGCTGTAAAATGTAGAAAAAAGAAAATCCTGAAACAACTCCACATTAATCCACACTGAAATACAAGTGTTGAATCATTTCATTCAGGGGATAATTTTAACTTAGTTTCTGAAGCATGAACATTTTTAAATAAAACACTGAAGTTAAACTTTATGCTACCGTTCCTTTCAGAATATTAATTCCCTCTTGATTTTGTTTGTTCACCAACTCATCAGTATTCATCCCATATGTACGTTTCAGTCGCTCTTTTATGAGGTACATCTGTTCAGCTGGTTAACGTAAACAGCGAACCAGACAGCCACATGGCTGCAACTCAGCGCATCCAGACGTGCTGAAGACAACCAGCTGACGTTCTCACTGAGGATCAGAATGTGGAAGTAAGAGGATTGAAGAAACTTTGAACTTGGCATTGCTGCTGGTACCAGACAGGGCTGGTCTAAATATATCTACTGATCTCTTTTGCACAACTGTCTTTGGACTTACAGACAATATTATTAATCCCTCTGGTCTGGGATGTTATGCAGCTAGAAGAGTTTCTGCTCACTTTTTACTTTCAAACAGTTGTTATGATGCAGAACTGTGGCAACAAGGTGCTTTTTGGTAACCCTTTATTTGAAGGGGTGTGCATAAGACTGACATGTCACTGTCATAATCATGACATAACACCTGTCATGAACATGAAGGAGTCTTTATGAATGTTTATTACTGTTGTTATGAAGTGTCATTCGGTAAATAATGACACTTTTAATGCAGAGTTGCATTAAAAGGCCATTAAAAGCACCAACTTTGTGTTATTTTGTAAGTAATGACACTTTTATGCAAAGTTGACACTTTTAATGGACAAATGAGGTTAATCAGCAGTCCTTGTAAAATGACTGATGATGTAATCCAGTGGAAAATCATCTCTATTCCTCTGATATGGAGCTGTTACTACGTGATGACAGTCGTGAGGTTGTCAAAGAGACGCAGTAGTAGAGTAAAGCTGCGAGCAGACGGGCTACAGCAGCAGAGGAACCGGTGGTACTGTTGTTATTTAAGAGCATGAAATAGGTCACACTTCTTAAAGGCTCATCAGAATTGACAAAAACAGATTGGAGGAAAAACACATAGTTGAGCTTCAACAACTATGTGATGTTGCTGCTCAGAATCTGGTGTGACCAACATGAAAACGTAGATTCATCTCGTTCAGTCCGGAGGTTGTGTCGACCCGTCCTCTGACGGCTGCTTCCAGTCTAAATGATCTCAGGTTGGTTCTTGAACATGGAAACGATATTACTCAACTCCAGTGTCAATCCAATAGAGGATCATTTGGGATACAGTGCAATAGATGATCCCGTTTGGTGTTATGGACCAAAATCTTAATTAAACCTTGTTGAATCCATGTTCTCAAAGACGGCTGTGAAGGAGAAATGGTGGTCAACCTGGCATTAGTGAGCCATTCCTCGTTGACTGTCCATCCTTACCTCTTGTGCCTATTGACAGCTGAGACGTGAATGAAAACTGCAATCAGTTGTTTGTGTGGCCATGTGGATTTTAAATTTGCTTAACTTATATTGCGAGGCAAAAAGGAGACATCGGGGTGAGCAACAAATAACAGCGACCTCTGCCTTATCTGCAGCACGCAGCCTGTCTATTAGGTCCTGATGCCTCGCGTGGAGACGATCAACAGAGAGCGACAGACGTATCGATGGAGCGTGATACATCGGTCTGCGGCAGGCTTTTGGTGCTCAGAGTGACGCAAGAGACAACTATCATCTGGTGCCAGAAAAACAAAATAATCTCCAAACACTTGTTCCCGTAATAAATTCCCTTTCAAGGTGCTCCAAAAGCCCCCCGAGCTTCTATCTCTACACCCTACTGTTGCAGATATTCGTAGCATCCAGAAATAATTAAACAGATACGTAATCAAGAAAAGTTACACTTCCCAACTTTTTTTTCTCCTCTTCTGCTTCTACTGAACCACACGAAGCTTAAATCAGTTAAAGATTGTGCGTATGAGTTGCCTGAGCATATTCTCACTCACTCCTTCTTCCTTTATAGAAACCAGATTTTTTTCTTTTGCAGGAATTATCATGAATCATTTGTGCATCTGTCGGAGTTGTGGGTCTGTGTGGCCAAATCACAATCATAAGGTGGCATTAGATTTTAATAAGGACAGCTAGAAAATACAACCTGGACCATAAGCTAAAGGAAAAAGCCTTAATCAAAACCATATGAAGGGCAGCGTGACTGCAGCAGCGCTCACGGCTCAGCATAACCCCACCCTGGTCTCTCCACTGATGGTTTGACAGCGTACCGGAGCAGCTGGCTGATTTTTCGACATAAGAGGCGGTGATACGCTTTGAAATCTAATCAAAGGCAGCCAGTGAGCGGGCCTTGCAGGACAAGGACAGTGGCACTGTTTTTAAGTTTAAAAAAAAAATAAAATGTACCATTCTGCAGCGAATGAGTCACCTGCTCTCAGTCTAATCAGGCTGCATTCACGAAACTTTCTGAAAAGACAAATTGATGTTAAGTCCCAAATAACATAAAGGAACCCAGCTGCAATGAAGGTCCAGGAAAAACGCGTTCTCTGCTGACCTACGCCACGTTTCGCGTTGACATTGTTTCTGAAGGACCTTTGAATCAGTATTAGGAGATAAAAAGAAATTAAACCACTGCCTTCCTTTCCAGCTGGATTCTCATCTCCTTTCAGTGCTCCATCTGGGATTTCTCCCATTGAAATCGATTTCTCAAGCTGAATTTCAACAGCCAGCGAACAAGAAGATGTCATTGATCTTTTGTGCTGTTCTAGGTTTGTATCCTGCTGGTAGTTTCAGCGATGGCACCGGGAGAAGAGAATTAAGTCGTTCAGTCGGTGTTGGCTGCGCTTTGACTGGGAAAAATGTAAAACTTCAACAAATTTCATGTATCTGAATAGCTAAAGTCCAGACCATCTGTCTGAAACAAAGCGTAGAAAAAGGTGTTGGATTTTACCAGGCTACACAGATGCCACTGTAGAAATAAATGTTTACAGAGTTGCCTTGCAAAATCATTCACCCACTCTTTCTTTTTTAAGCATTTGAATTTGGCCACATCTCAAGCTTTAACCCACTGAGATTTTATTTGACAGACCCACACAAAACAGGACATGAAAGTCAAAAGAATGTTTTTATATTTGCTTTAAAAAAATGTTTCTGTGAAGGCACCAGAGGTTTGCTTGAGACCAACACAGCAGGCAGGTCAGAGTGGGTTATAAAAAAGTTTGGTTATAAATCATCAATAATTCTGTCAAACTTTTAACACCTCTCAGATGGAGTAGGAAGGCCAATACAGCCTCAGGACCTGGCAGCTTGAAAGTTTAGGCTGTCCACCAAAACTGAGAGGCTGAGAATCAAAAAATAACTTTTTTGATTTTTATGAACGAGCAGCAAGACGTTCATAAACCCATCTGAGCCCCGCATGTTCCCCTGAACCCATCACCATCATGATGAAACACGTGACAGCAGCTACCTCATGTAGCTCCTCTTATATGTCACTAAATTGTTTATAGAAATATCTATGTTTGGTTAATTGATATCTAGTTGCTTATGTTTCAATAAATTGACTTTTTAAGAGAAGGGTTAGATCACATTAGGTTTTTTTTTCCATCCTTCTATTCCTTTTCTTTCAAAGAAAAATGTTTAAACTGTAAATGAATGAAGTAAATAAAGTCATCTTGAACTGATCCTGAGATAAAAAAAAAATACTTTTTTTGTTCTCTCACCACCATCAGCAGTTGTCCTGTTGTGCTGCTGTTAACAAAAGTCAGATTATTTTCCCACAAACATCGTGCACCCGTGACCCGTTTGGCTTGAGGAGCATATATGCCAACCACATAGCGGCCCCCGCTGAATAAAGGGCATTTAGACAGGGCCTGCTAAGACTTCTTTCTCTGTGAAGCAAAGTTCACTTTAAATACCCTCTGTGGCCGCATTGCACAAATGTGAATAAAGGATGGGAGTTCATTTCAGAAAATCGCATCAAATCAAACAAAAACGGCAACGTAAAAGCACAAACACCAATGTACAGAGTAATGTATAGTTAAAGCAATACATCAGCATATAAAAAAGGCAATAATAAAGTCATGCTGGCCATGAAATTCACTTTTAAGCACATTAGTGCCTCTAAGTGAATCTGAGCCAACTCTAGATTAGACATCTGATCAAATACAGTACGTGATAAAAGTTTAGCAGTGGAGCTGAACAAAGACGGAGAAACTCACTCAGTTCATTCGGAGCAGAAACGTAACAATGCGGACCGGAGGGAGAAACAAGCTGTTTGCAGCGAACCAACACTTTGGCTCCTTTAAATACTTGGCTGCACTGCGAGTACACACCCTTCTCTGTGCTACTCTAAAAGCAACATTAGAAATCACTCAGGAATGGAAACAAGCAGCCACTTACACAGTTCACATGAACAGAAACACAGTGCTGTTGTTTTTATTAAGAAACCTGATTTTTCTGAGTTTTCTCTGATGACAGAGCAGGAGGTCAGTCAGTCAGTATCTTCATTAAAAGAAAAAATCAGTGTGATTCTGTGTCAGATTGCAGAAAACATTTGTTCACTTGTGCAGATTTCTTAAGAAGTCAGGTTTCCTTTAGTCACACGTGTTTCTTGTTTTAAAGAATGGAGCGTAGTGTCTGAGGTTTTCCTGCGACTTATGTTGAATTATCACCATTATAAAGTTATGTTTTTCTGTTCATCTTTTACAGCAGCGTTCCACTATATCTGTGTATATTTTCACTTTCAGTGTATCCAAGTTAACTGTCTCTGTCTCTGTCGTGACAGTGTCATTGTCATTGCAGCCACAGCCACGTTCTTTGTGAACACGTTTTTCTTCTTCTCGTTAAAGGCTAGGAATGTGGTTCCTTCATCTTGTCTTAATCAAAGGCCAGTCTAGCAGGTGAACACCCTGGACAGGTCTAAACACAGCACTCCACTAGTACTTGGTGTAAATACTTTTATCAGTCGATCCTGTCATGTTTCTACCACCTTTATGATCAGACATGCAAACTTAGATTCATTGGTTTTCTCACACAGTCCAAACGTTTTCTAGAAGACTGAGGTCAGAGCTTTTGGGAGGCAACTTAGGGACAGTACTGACGGCCTGCAAAGACAGGTTGGATGTGTGTTTGGGATCATTGTTCTATGCGAACACACAACTTTGTCCAAGTCTGAACTATTGCTGAATTTCCATCCACCGTATAATTGCACAATTTGACATTTCAAGAATAAATTTGCTAAATGGAAAACCCGCCAATTAAAAGAATTGGCCATATCCTCTGCAATGGAAACACTTTTCTCCCCATCAAAAAAGCCACATGATCAACAAACAGATGTTACCACTGGCGCAAACCACGAAGAAGACGACAGGAAGTAGTTGGAGGATGATGTTTATTAGTGACTTATTGAGTGAGCAAACTTACTCATGTGTGATTTTAATTGCGTTTCTTAATGGAGACACCACAATTGCAAAATTGTGTTTTTTCTGACATAAGCTGGGTAATGTCAGAACATTCGCATCGGAAATGCTGTCAGAACATTAGTTAGTTTGCTCAAAAACAACCTGAGAACTAACAAAACTCAGGCTTTCTGTGTAAACTGTGATCTGTAGGAAAAGGAAAGGACGTGTCCACCGTGAAGAAAGGACTGAGAATGTGACGATCAGGAAAGAAGACCCCGCTCCATCAAGTTTGACGAGAAAAAAATGTAGTCAAGAGAAATGTTTGACCATAGAATGAGTCAAAGGTTTAGGTTTCAGGCCACGATCCAAAATATGTTTAGACAAGTGAAAGTGACCACATTAACTAGTTAACTAAGTTAACTCCACCAATCCTGCCAAGCTGAACAGTCCAATATCTGTCCAGGACTTGCACATCAAGCTGACGTATATTTATTCATCTATCATCCAAAGGTGTAAATAAATAAAACACGTTCATTTCCTGTTTTTAAAGTGAACCGAATCCGCATGTCACATAATGACTCCAGTAAAAACCCAAAGTAGTTACATTTTTTTGTGAAGACGTCTACTAGAAGCTGTCATTTTTCCTCGTGAGTCAATGAAAAACCAATCTCCTCGCTTCTGGGCACTGACCATTACGGCAGATTCTGTAAATGATTATAATCAAATGTCTGTCATTGTGCGTAATATAATTTTTCATTTATTAATACGTCCAAGAGGGAAATAACATGTTCTTTTATTTAAAAAAAAAAGGATTTAATAAACAGGCCTCTGCTTGTCTAAGGTAATATTAAAGTTGACAGTGATGAAGCTGCTGAATGGAATGAAATCTTTAAGGTAATTGTTCTCACCACGGCCCTCCTACTGTGACACCCAAACTCAGACCTGTGGAAAAAAGCCCACACATTAGTCACACACTACCATACAAATATCACACTTTGTGACAGGGAGCGGTCTTCCTCTCAGTTTGATAGGAAATACTCGGATGATGTCACAGTGACTGATTCAGTACATTTTTCTTCACGGCTTAGCAGATTCATCTTTTAACACACACAATGCAATAATTTTGTCACAATTTGAAAACCTGCTAATTAAGAAGTCATAATTAGAGTGCTGTATTGTCTTTCTAATGACACAGACACACAGCATACTTTTAGTGTTTCATTTTTTGTTGAAAAAACTCACATTTACATATTACTAAAAGACTTATTGGTGCTCCAGTTTGATTGTAGGTTTTAGCTTGGAGCTCCAGTAGCAGCATGCTAGCTTCTATGTTAGCCTTGACCTAAAAGTCATCGTTTGCAAATTGCTGCTAATAGGTCTGTAATTTAAAACTATGAGTTAAATAAAGAGAAATGTATTGGTCATATGAAAACCTATAAGTTTATGTATTTCTCTGGGGAAAACACAACATGCTTGCCTAGCTAACTCTGGAAGAAAAGGCAGGTCAAGATGTACCAAAGAAACTCAGGAGACAGGAGGTCATTATGAGTTCATGTCTTAATTTACCAGTCTGGATTTTAAACCTGGTGCTGTAGTGAGTGAAAAGTTAAGGTTATTCGCATTGCTACTGAATACGTACACCCTATGTGAGCTACATAAAAATAAAAAAAGAAGAAGCACACCATCAAAGACTCTGTGCGGTTTAGTTTATTACAAACATTCGATGTTTGGAGTTTCGCCTGATGTCGCCGCTTAGCCTCAGAAAACACTTGAAAGATTTCCAGGAGTTTCTTAATCACTCTACAACAAATTAAAAGCCAACTGTGTGGTGCTAAACAGTTGGAAATTGAAAAAGAAGAAGTAGGAAAGTAAATATCTGAAAGCTATGGATGATAAATAGCTTCTTGCCTCTTGTATAGGATTTCTCATCTCTGTAGAGGTTCTGAGGCATCAATCACAGAAGCCTGAACAAAAATCACCACCCTTACGGATTACTTATGGTTTTACCTAAGCCTGGTTGTTCCAACCCTTATTGACAACTCCCATCAAGCAGTGACTGGTGATAAGTCTTTAAAATCAGTTTATTTTTTGTTGTTGTTGTGCTTTGTATCACCGTCTTGCTGCACAGCCCAAAGAACAATGATGGCCAGACGTTCTCCACCAGAACTTTGCATTTGGCAGCAGAATTTTTGCAAGTCGTCCTGTTATTGCAGAACTACCATCGCCATGTTTGATTGGCAGCGTGATTCTCTGGAAGGAATCTGCTGTTAGGTTTTACCAAGAAGTCCCAACTTTGTCTCGTTGGTCCACAGAATATTTTACTAAACCCTTTTCTTGAGTTTTTTGTGTCTTCTGGACGACCCGTTGAACCCGTCTTGGAGTAATCGTGTTAGGTCAGCCATTGGTAACGGCTCCGAGGTTTCTGTGGCTCTCGCTGCAGTTTGTTTGAGTCCCAAAGCCTTAGAAATGGGGTTAGTTTGTGACTTGTGGGATGATCTAATCATAAGAAGACATTCACGTTTTCACAGAAAACCGCATCACAGAAGAATACATTAAAAAAAACATCCCCAACCCTGTTTCAGCGTACTTATGTGGATAAACGGAAGAAATGCAAGACCAACCCAATCCCTTGAAATCGTATCAAAGCATCCGAAAGATGAGTAGCGACATAAAAAGCTAATGATCTTTGTTTAACCTGAAGTTGATGCAATATTTTCCAACCTGTTCCACCATCTGCAGTCAGAAAACGATGTACTTTTACGTTGAGTCAAAAGGTGTGCCGTGTTGTTTTGAATAGGACACTCCCAAAACAGGAGTCTTTTCTCTAAAGCTCCCACTGCCAAAAAAATGCTATGACATGACTGTAAAAAAAAAAAGAAAAGAAAAAAGATTCGATGTGTTGCAATGTTGAATCTCTGCCAGTGAAAAGGTAAACAAAGGAACAATGACGGATTTCTGACATTATTGATGGATTATATGACACACCGCTCGACACCCCACTTCAGGCACACCTGTTTATCTGATGGCGAATGCATTCAAGTTCCTTTTCCAATATTACACAATCTGCTTGAAGTTATTGCAAAATCATCTTTGGAGTAAACTGGAAACAGTTTGACAGTGTGGAACAAAAAAAAATAAATCAGAAGAGTGAGATTGAATTATTATCACTATTATTCAGACAACAGACTCACCAATTCCAGCAGATATTTTATGATACCAACAATCAAACGGCTAGACTGAGTCCACCTGTGTGTAAACTGGTCTCGGCATAAATCCGACTGTTCCTTTAAGAGCTCAGACGGTTTTTATTAAACAGCAGATCCTAAAGAATCTCCCCGAGCATCGGTTGGTCCATCAGCTGGGCTAAAGTTTCAGGTTACTTCTTGAAATATCGTTTCATTTTTGCATTGTTTAACCCAATTTGCTCTCAAATGACGTTTTTGTAAATTCTTTTAAGGAAATGCAAATGTGTTATTAAAGTATCGACAAATAAACCTTGTCCAAATTTTTTCCTAAGTTTGAACTAAGGAAAAAGTTCAGAAACACCCGAGTCGCAGGGGGTTTGATGATACAGCAAACTTAAATAAAAAATATTGGTATCAGTATTGGTATCAATCATACCAGCCTGGTACTTGCTTAGTATCGGGTGGACACCAAAATACGAGGTACCACACACCTCTAATGTCTTCAGTTGCACACCTATTTGTCTTGGCCTATCATGCAAAATCCCTGCAAAACACAATAACATTTTTTATTTTTTAGTGAGAAATAATATAAAAAACGGTCAAGAAGTGTAAATATTTCCCAAAAACATTCTGTTTCTTAGAATTATTGTTAATTTTGGGCCAGAAAAAAGAGAAAGAAATAATTCAAATATAGAAAGGACACAAAGGCTTGCTGGAAGGCAGTGACACAATGTGTGCTGTTTTTATTGAATCTACTGTGCAACAGTATATTGTCATTTAATGTCTTTAGATAACCTTTTTAAAAATAATGATTACTACAAGATGCTGCAGTCGACCTGTTTGAGCACAAAGCTCAGGGAAGCAATAAACCAGCATTGCTGCACGCCACAGGTGTCAAACTCCAGTACAGGAGGGCCGCTGTCCTGCAACTTTTAGATGTGCCTCTGCTGCACCACACCTGAATAGAATAATCAGGTCATTATTAGGTCATTGGAGAACTGATCTACACAAGAAGGAAGTAATTAAGCCATTTCATTCCAGTGTTTTGTACCTGTGGCACATCTAAAAACTGTAGGACAGCGGCCCTGGAGGACTGGAGTTTGACACCCCTGCTGCACGCCAATCCATAGCCACTTTACACCTTATTTTTTCTTCCGTGTTTCTGCATGCATTAGGGGGAGCGGACATCCATCCACACAAGCACACAAACAGAGAAATGTGACGTGTTTTATCGTGCATTCACCCCTCCTCGCACACATACATTTAAAACATTTAAATGTAGACTTTGTGTTCAAGTGGTGGACAGGTGTGTGATGTACGCTCTGAACCATCAGGCTGTCAGAGCTTCAGGGTTGGCTGTGACTGGCAGTCCGCCTACAAACAAGAGGCACGACACGCTTCAAAATAAAATAATCAGAGACGGGAGAGAAAGACAGAGAGAGAGAGAGAGAGAGAGAGAGAGAGAGAGAGAGAGACGAGATGCAGGTTGCCTGCTACCAAAACATAGCTGAAGACAGACAGACGAGTGAACGATGGGACGCCGGCGATCAGAGCAGAAGGTCTGCGACGGAGGGCAGCAGCTCGGCCAACTCCGACTCCACGTTGGCCGTCTGAGTGACGGGGTTGCCACGGAGATCGAGGCGCCTCAGCTTGGGGCAGGAGGCCAGAGGCTGAAGGTCTGCCAGCGTGGAGATCTCTGTGAGTTTTGGGTTAATGAAAAATGGGGAAAAAAAAAAAAAAAAAAAAAAAACCCCCAAAAAAAAAATAAAAGAAAAAGCAGAAGGGAGCCCCGTTCGCCCTGCGGTGTTGAGTAATGGTGAGTGAGAAGAGATGTGACAACACTGGTGTAAAAGCAAGATCTGCATGTCAAATGCAACACCGTGGTGTTGGATAAACTTTTCCCCTCCAAAGCTGAGCTGTCACTGCAAGGAATAATAATAATAATAATAATAATAATAATAATAAATTAAAAGAAAACAGCCTGGGTGTCATGACCTGCAAACCTCATTAATTCCTCTCTTGTGTGTAAAAGGAAGCGAAGCACGGAGAGAGGATGGGCCTTGTGGCAGTAATGTGTCGCTAAGTGTCTCTTCTCTTCCTAATGTCAAGCAGTCTGCCCCCTTTTCACCACATCTCACACACACACACACACACCCCGCAGCTTTTAATTACTCGAAGTTTCACGTGAGATAAATTATGCATGCGTCGGGCTGAACAGAATAATCATAAGAGCATTTCTTTTTTTTTTTTTGGCAAACACTGTCAGCACCAGCCGCTGCGAGAAGAACTCCTTCTCCTTCTGCGTCACCCTGCATCAGCAGCTCACGCTTTCTGACCACAATTTTTTTTTTTTTTTTTTTTTCTTTGTAGCGCTGAGGCCACTCAGAGCTGATTCTCGAGTCGCCACAACCGCTCGGATGGGAGGAAGACGAACAAATCTGATCCCCGCGGCTCGGCTGCAGACAAAGATCGGCGGCCGGATCGCGTCTCCGGCGGGCGAGGCGCCGAATATTAATCCGCAGGCTTAAGGATACTGTTGTTCTTCAAGGAGACCTCCTCCAGTTTGGGAAGGTGATAAACTCCCTCCAGGTTCTCTATAGAGTTGTTATCAGCCTCCACAACCTGCGAGTTGAGACCAAGAGGTTTGATTGCAGTAAACAGGCGATATGCGTCCCCACCACCCCCTCCCTCGCCCGCTCCAGTCTGCTAGGAGCGAGTCAGGGAAAAAAAAAACAAAAACAAAAAACAGTGACACTGCAGGAGGAGGCAATTAAGAGTGGAATTGGTGGCGTTCTCACCTCCAAGCACTGCAACATCGCAAACTGAGGAGGCAGCCGCCGCAGCTGATTGGACGACAGATTGATGTGAGTCACTAATAACAGCTGGTCCAGGTGGCATAATGTGGTCAGGTTCTGGAAGACACACAAATTGCTTTTCAGCATCTCTTTTTGGCAGAAAGTGTTTGTTTTTGTTTTTTCTGATGTTGCTCATCAGGAATTCAGGACGGACCCTGTCAGAGATACTGAAGACTCGCACTTCGGCGTACTCCATTTTCAGGATGGTGTTTTCAATCATGAACTTGCTGCACAGGTCGCTGTAATATGCAGAGCGCATGGAGTCCACTTCCTGGAGGAGAGACGGGGAGCGTGCTCAGTCAGTCATCTGAGCAAATACGCTTAGTGAACGTACGGCGCATGTGTGTGTGTGTGTGGTACTCACTTTGAGTGTCTGGAAGTGAGCGAGGGTCTCCTTCTCATACCCAAGAGGGTCTAGTGCCCTCATCAGGAGGATAATGGTCAGCAAGCACCCTTCAGAGGCAGGAAGGTTAGTTAGCTGGTTACTATGAGGGTCGCTAAGCGAGCAGCAGAAAACTTTAACAGCTCAGTCAGAGTTTATTACTGGGAGGAATGCTGCAGTCTCTAAGTGATGCACTTGAAATGTTCTTTTTTTATTTTCAGGGTACACAAGTTTGAAATGAAATACGCACCTACTTAAAAATATACACACTGGCTCAAATACTGCCTCTAAAATGTAGATGAATCTCCTTTAGCATGTTGAAGAGACGACAAACAATTTGTTGATTTGAACTGGTTGGCTTTCTGTGGGGATAAACTGATATGAAAATTTGAGCCTACATTGAAGTACAATGTTAATAAAGAAGTTATAAGCAATACTGTATATATATATATTTCACTACTTTTTGTACCTTTTGACATCTTGAAGAAAAGCATAACCGCTAACAGCAGAGTTAGCATTTATGCTAACACAGCTGCTTCTCTGCTTTAGTTGAGCTTCCTACTATCCTGCGCTGTTCCACTACGTTTCCAATGACCGTGTAAATTGTGCAATTTGACATTTCAAAAATAAATTTGCTTCATGGAAACATGCAAATTTTGAAAACAGCTATTTTTTTTTTTTTTTTTTTTTTATAAATCGTTCTGGCACAATGATGAGGCGGTCGAAATTGTTTTTTTTTGTTTGTTTGTTTTTCCTTTTCTTTTTTTTTTGTTTTTTTATATAAAACTGCAAAGGAGAAACTCTTCGCATCACACGAATCACATGATCAACAAGCGGACGTTGCCACTGCCGTAAACCACAACGAAGAAGACGACAGGAAGTAGTTGGAGAATCATGGCGGCATGTTTTTAAATGACTTTTGATGTGAACACAATTATTCACGTGTGATTTTAACGCCGTTTAATGGGAAAACATTTGAAGTTAAACACAAATAAGTAGTTAAATTTCTAGCTGAAAATGCTAAGACATTATGACTACATCATTTTTATTTTTCTGTAACTTCCTAATTACAGACAACAATAACTGTAATAGGACAAAGTACAGGCGCGTGTAGACATTTGAGCTTCAAAACCTGTGTGGATTTGAGAAAATACGCATCAAATTTAAAATCATGCAGCTAATTCTAAGTTTTTAAAATTAACTTAAAGTTGCACGTTACATCACAGCTAAACCCAGGGAGAAAAAAACTTTTTAAACACATCTCCAAAAGCCCAAAATAAATTTGATTTTCAAGTTGGAACCGGCTCTCTGTGGTATAAATTTGCCGTCTCCACCTACATTTATTCAGAGGCTCCAGTTCTTGTAGCTGGTTGACGGACTGCAGCTCCGACTGCAACACCGAGGTCTTCTCCACAGAGAGTTCACTCCTACAGAGCAAGACACCGCCATCTGTTCTTCCATCTTGCAAAAACGCGCCTGAAACTTACCGCTGCGAATATGCAAAAGCCGTACCTGAACAGTTCCAGGTCTGTAGCCGTGTCCCGACACCAGCTCTCGCTCCGGCCTTTGGAGGTTAAAAAATAAACAAAGCTCACGGTGAAACGATGGTAAATGTACATAAACGTACGATTTGGAAAAAGTCCAGAGTGTGGGATATGCGTCACCTGTGTAGAGGGCGCAGTCCCGGTGGGTGTGTTTTTCAGTCCAGTGCACAGTGAGGTTGTGTTCGTTGGCGATGTCGCTTATCGTTCCTGGAGGAAGGTCGCAGATCTGAGCAGGCGCTAAGGTCACGTATGGTCAAAGCATGAATTATTCAATTCACATAGGGAACAAAAAAAAGAAAAAAGAAAAGAAAAAACTGTATTTGATTTGGATGAAAATGTGTCATTTCTGAACTGTCTAGAAATAGAATGTGAGAGAGCATCATCAACTTATGGCGCGTTTCCAGAGGTGAAAAGCAGGAGCAGGCCCAGAGCCTGAAATATATAAGAAAAAAAAAAATCAACTGGTGGTACTCTTGATTTGCTAAAAGCCTCAAAGTAATCCATTTGTTGTTGCAGTAGTATGATGTTTGTGATGACTGGAAAACCATGGGGGAAATAATTGGATTTTGAGCATTAAAAACACTAAACAACCCAATAAAGAAGGCTGGTTCTGTTCTGGGGGTGGCTGGATCCTCTGGAGATGATGCTGCAAAGAGGAATTTTACAAAAATAAATAATAATAAATCAAGAAAACTATGGACAAACTGTTCATGAGACTGGAGCTGGAATTACAATATATTTGCTTTTTTGTTTTATGTTTAAAAAAAAAGGAGTTTTTGCATTAGGATGATGGGATTTTTTTTGGCTGAATCGAAACTGTGATGTTTTGCAAAACTGCCATGGAAGCACTTTTTTTGTATGTGATCAATGACCGGAAGTTACTACTGGTACTGGCGAAAAAGATGAAGACGACGACAGGAAGTGGTAGGAGGATGATGACGCTGCACGTGACTGCGCCACCAAACTTCTTCACGGGTGATTTTAACTGCATTTTCTTATTTAATGGAAACACCTCAATTCCAAATTGTGTTTTTTCGACGAATATCGACAAAGTTTTATGTACATTTGTAATGGAAACACAGTCAGAGGCTTCTTCCAACTCGCTGTAACACACACTGCTACAGGAGATCCGTCCTGCATCCTCCACCAGCCTCTACAGAAACTCTTGAAGAACCTTGAATTAATATGAGCTACATTTAAAATTCCCTTTGGGAACAATAACACATTTCTGAATTTAATTGAATTCTAAGAAGCCATTGTTTTACCCGAGTCCCTCATGCAACATTTACTGGCGCCCCGCTGTCAACACCTCATTTAACCACGTTTTGCTAGTGGAACAATGCTTAGTTTTCCGCAACATTTCACATTGTTTGGGTCATGGAGGGAGAAAAGGCTCTGCTTTCTTCAGCTCATCCCACCATCTTTCTATAGGAGTTAGGAGCTTCTACATTTCTGTGATAATTTGGGTCAATAACCTGCTGCTTTTTCAGTTTTCTGGTGAATCCTACCGTTAGTTATTTTGTTTATTTTAAGGATCCTGTCGGTTCAGGTCGTTCGTGAGGCCAGGAACTCCAACATGGTCATTGGAAAACAAAAAGGCCCACAGCATCACAGATCCTTTCACGTATTCCTCTTCAGTCTTGTGAACCCGTAGCGTGTTGCTGCAGTGGAAGCTCCATCTTTGTTCTTCTATGAGCAAAACACACAAAGTGCAGTTGTGAAAATCAGAGGAGCTGGACAGAAACGTCCTTTACTGATGTTGCTTTTTTTGTTGCATCACCCCTAAACAATCGTGGCGTCTTAAAGGTTGTCATGGAGACGTGGCAACCCGCCAAGATATCGCTCTTTGTTGCTGGTCTCCAACAGCGAGCTTTAGCGATTTTATTGTAATTTTTTATGACCTCCCTCACCGCTCTCCTCTCTGCATGTGGCGGCGAGATAAATCTGAGTCTTTACCCAGACTTTTGGAAGAAGAAAACGGAGTTACAGCAATATTTACACCCCAATAAAACAAAAAGTTAAGATTACAAATTAGGAGTTCCTGAAAACATTTAAAAGAAAAAAAATGCCTTAGTTACACATTTACTTTAAAACTTTATTCCCGTTTTGTCCCCCCCGCAACTATTCAAAATTTAAGGTTTGGATTTTTCTGCTTTTTGTCCCCTCCCCCAGTGTGAAAAAGCAACAAAATATGAATTTGTTGAAAATGTTATTTTGGATGTTTCCCCCCCTCATCAGTGTCGATGAACTGCACGGCTCAGGGGGATTCTTTTGAGTCTTTTTCGGTTATTTTTACACACAAATAACGCCCTGATTACCATATTCAATAAAACATTAAATCCAATTTGAGCATTAGTATTCATTCTCATGCAGCTCCTTAAGGTGCTTCTAAAACCCCCTTGTACCGAGTTCGGTTTCGGGACTTGCAATCTGCTGAAGCGGATGGAGACGGAGCGCTGCGATGCAACAGAAGTAATCCCTGCAATGAATGAGTGGAAATGGGAGAGCCTTACAGTCTTATTGTAGCCTGAGGAAAAATGTAAAAAAAAAAAAAAAAATCATTATTGGGAGAATTGAAAAAGGGATCCGGAGAGGATGGGCTGCATATTTAACCTCACAGCCGGCACAATTTCCCATGAATAAATCGAGACAAAAATAAAATAATAAAAAAATTGTCCAGTGAGGTTTGTTCTCAGCTCATTTTTTAAGATTTAAAAGTCTCATTTTGGCGGCAGGGTGCAGGTCGGCCAAACAGCGAAAGGAATTGGGTTTTTTTTTTTAAACTTCCTGATTTAAATAAATCACCATAAGACAATTTTCTGCCTTGTTCAAATAAAAAATTGTAAAAGGATAAAACAAGCAGTGAGTGTTTGTAGTGTAGAGTTAAGACAGCCAACAAATGTTAGACATTTCCCTTCTTCTTCACAGACGTGCAGCATCTGAATATTGTGCCAGAGAAGAACAGGAATGTGAAAAGTGTTTTTTTTTTTGTTTTGTTTTGTTTTGTTTTGTTTTTTTTATGTTCAAGCAGCGTCTAAAGTGAAGTGTTTGTAAGTTAAAGGATACCCAGACTGGACTGTGTTTGAAGTGTGGGTGGACGCTCCGCCACTCCACTCTCTGAGGCTGACCGTCGAGGACCAGCAGCAGGCTGCCCGACTGCGCCTGCATGGTGAGGAGAAGGCCAATAAACCCTGGGTGCAAAATGAAGGCGTAGCACACAAACAGCTGAAACCTGAAGCTCATATTCACCAGATTAAAAAAAAGAAAGAAAAATAATCCTCACTGTCTGAAGCTAAATCAAACCAACCGTTTCTTCTTCTACGTCAGCTAGAATTACACAATCGTTTCATTCTTGTTTCAGAAGTTTACACACAGAATGTTTACCGTTTCTTTAAACAATGAGAAAAGCCTGGATGATGACTATGATGATGATGATGACAGGTTATCGGTCACCTTTAAGTTAACTTTAACATGTCTGTGCGGGTGTGTGTTCACAGCCACACCTGGAACACGCCGCTTTATTGTTTGACACGACGGGAAGGTCAAAAGAAATCAGCCAATCAGGAAGGGAGATACGGAGAGAGACAGAAGTCCGGCTGATCCTCGGGAATGATTTACCGAAGCTCGAAGATGCCGCGTTCGTCTGTTCAAACAATTATATGCGAGTGCGGACATGATGCGGACGTCCCACCATCAAACCGCTCAGGAAGGAAACGGGTTCTGTGTCCCAGAGATGAACGTGTTTGGGTCCAACATGTGTAAATCAAACCCAGAATTAAAAGCTAGAAACTTTGGTAAAATGGTAAGGCAGTGTGAAACATTTCCTGTACAGACATGGACTAAAAAGCAACTCGGCAAGGAAGAAGCCTTTACTTCAAAAGAAACATAAAAAAGCCAGATGCAAAGATCTTCGTTTTTGTAGACGAGTCGTGTGGCCTGATGAAACCAAAGTGGAACCGTTTCTCCATAACGATCATCGTGACGTTTGGAGAGAAAACGGGGAGGCTTGTAAGCCTGGAAATGGCATCCCAACTGCCAAACATGGTGGTGGCAGCATCATGCTGTGGGGCCGTTTTGCTGCAGGAGAAACTGGCGCACTTTATAATCTAGAAGGCATCATGAGGACAGAACATATCGGAATTAATGAAGCAACATCTAAAGAAATGAGCCAGGAAGTAAAAGCTCAAGTCTTTTAAATGAATAATAAACCATAAGGATGCAGCCAAAGTCATTATAAAGAGGACGAAGAACAACACAAAGTGTGATCATCACAAAGCTCTCCTGTGAGCAAAGCGAGCTACGAACTTGACTCCGTTCTACCGGTTCTATCAGGAGGAACGGGTCAGAAGTCCAACAAACTATTGTTAGAAACCTGAAGGACAAAACCCAACAGGTTTGACCCAGTTCAATGGCTACACCTACCAAACACTGAGGAAATGGGTTTAGATTTCTGATTCTGAAGACATTAATAAATAAATCTCTGGCATAATTGAAGTAATTTCTCCTTATTGAGGCATTTAGCAACCAGACATCATTTTGGTCACCTAAAAACAAGAGACATTTGGTCTGATTTCCCTTCGGACTGTACTTATTCTTTATCAGACAGACTCCTAAAACGTAGCCGCCTCTCATCAAATCTCACAGCAGGCTCTCAAAAGCCTCAAGACAGCCGTTTCCAAACAAACATGAAGTATTTTTTAACGAAGACAAATCATCCCCAGATTCTGGGGAAAAAAATAAATAAATAAATAAAAATATAAATCTTTGAACTAAGGATTGTGACGAAAAAGCAAGACTTGTTTGAGAACAGAGACACGCAGCACAAGTGCAGTAAACGACAAAAACACAGAAACAGTGAAGGAGAAACTGACATTGACAGGCCTGGAGAAGGCGACGGCGACTCTCTCCTGCTCCCGACTGACGTACGCACAGCTTATCATCTCCTCACGCTCCGCTGGGAGGAAGACAAAAGAAATGATAATAAATAAACACAGGAGTCAAACTCATAAAACGGCAACGAGCATTGCTTGCGTGCACAGACAAACCGGAATGTACACAGGCATGCAAGATGGAGTCAAAAGTCCATCCACTCCTGATCAAAATCTAAAGATCACAACAATTCCAAGTATTCCTAAATCAGGACGCAATGTTAAAGGGGCAGTATTATGTGTTGTTCCATTTTGTAGCACAATCAAGTAACTGTTACCTTCAGTTGTTATAAAAATGCTCTGTATGTCAAATATGACTTAAAAGAAATTTAACTTTGAAACTGGGCTCCTGTCTCTTTAAGAAACTCCTGCTCTGTCTGAAACTCCGCCTGCAGGAAGTCATCATAACATCGCTCCTATATTAACCCTTTAACCTTTTTACTGGTGTTGCACTGAGAAGTAGCTCGTTATGAGCTCAGCATATGTGCAATTCTGGCAGATGTTTGCTAATTGATGCTGGCTAGTCTGAAGGAGTGGAGAGGGGGAGTTGCAGAGGAGCGCTGCTCTGTGAGGCTGAAGCCCAGAGGCTTGGAAACTGCATCCGAAGGCGGAGCTAGGTCCACCCAGCCGTTGTGCACAGCTGAACGGTTGCCACGGGAGACTAAAGGCTTTATTGAACACGCATGAAAGAATCAAAGCAACACTCCAGGTGTGTGTTTGATGAGGGATTAACATTATAACATTATGCAAATCTCAAAAAAGTTGATTTTACATAAAATTACCCCTTTAAGTTGAGCTCCAAAATACAAAACAAAGAAACAAAGGCAAGAGAACCATGCAGAGAGGGCAAGTTAATGAAAACTGCATTGAAACTCAAATAAGCCGTTAATTAGTTGGTAGAAAGCTAAAACTCATCAGCCAACAAAAAATTTAAATCAACAAATGACTGGGGGAAAAAAATTAGTCTGCTTTTTAGTGTAAACCTTACTTATTAAACATTTTCAGTGGGATTCCCTTGCAAAGTTCAAAAGGAGTTGTGGAAGGAGACGCAGCCTTTGGAGGAATTTTCATTTATTATCATTATTTATTTATTTATTGATTTATTTATTTCCATTTCAAAATTCTACCTGCAACCTGGTTATGATCCCCCGTCACAAAACATGAAGATTCGTCATGTCTTAAAATTCTCATCAGGACTGAATTCTACCCTGGGCCAAACGAGACAAAGAGCAGTTTCAAAAGCTGAACGGTTAAATATTTAACCGTTTTTCAGCCTTTGATCATTTTAAAAGGTAAAAATAAAACAAGAAGAACAAGACTGGTTAAAAATCAGTAGCACAAAAAAAAAAACATGTTTTAGAGACACTTCACATCTTTTACATCTTGTTTCGGTGGGCTTGTGTAGTCAAGCTCTTTGCAACCGTTTTCTAGGAAGTTTATCGATTTTTAGGTCAAGGAAACAAAAAACTGTCCTCTACATACTTATGTGTGCTTACATTTTTATATATATGTGCAACGGGAAATTTCCTTGAACCTGTCAACACCCATGTTGCTAAATGTACGTTTGCTGTTTTTGACCTGACGATCTTTCAGCATAATTCATATTTGATTCTAATCAGGCCTGGTTAATGAAAAATCTGATTCATCAGTTCATTTAGTGGTTATGGTTGATTTGCATAGATTTTTGTTTCCTTCAGATGATTCCTCGTTTGTAAACTGATATTTGTATTTACTCAGCTGTGTTTGATGATCTGAAACATCTAAACGTGAGAACACAGAAGAAAACCGTAAGAAGAAAACAGCTTTCAAAGGACTTAATGCACAAATAAAATTATTTTACTGTTATTGATTAAACTATTTTTTTAACCATGCATCGTTTTCTTTTCACTTTATAACTATGCTCTAAATTTCTCTTGGTTTAGGGCGTAAAATCCTGATAAAATACACTGGAATATGAATTTTGTACATGCAGAAAATACAGAAAGAATCTTTTTTTTATTATTGTGTAAAGAAAGTTTCTAAACTTAAAAGAAAAGTTTCTTATTTGTTACATAGTTAAATCTTTGCCTCATCAGCAGCAGTAATAGTGAGGAAATCCAACACCTTTACATTTCAAACCCATTTAAAGGTGCAGACTCATACCTCTGCCCAGCAGCCAGCGGTAATAGAACCAGGCACTCTGGTCGTTTGGGTCGGTGAAGAAAGCGTTCTGAACCAGCTCATACTCTGAAACGCAAAGAGCAGCTTAAATCAGGACGAGACTGCCCCCTGTCTGCTGCCGCGCTGCATCGCCGGCTGCGGTCTCACCTTTGAGCAGCTGCTCTTCACACACTCGGTGGAAGTGGGTCTGAGGGGAGGGCGGCGAACAGGAGTGAGGCGGGTCACCGTCGCAGCGCGAGGGCGGCGGCTCGGGGGAGCCCGGGTGGAGCAGTGGCAGCAGGGTGCTGCGGTAGTGCCAGCTGGAGTAGTTGGAGAAGTTGGAGCCGATGAGGCGGTCAGTGAACTCCAGCTCCTGCTTCACCGGCACGCTGGACATTTTCACCACCATCCGGCGGTAATCCCAGCAGTGGACTGGGAGGGATGCGAGAAAATGAAGTCAGGGAAACAGGAACGGTGCAGCGCCGGTGTAACTTAGACATGAGCTACGTTTAGGCCTGCAACTAGTGATTATTTTAGTTATCGATTAATCTATCTGACGATTAATCGGATAAAAAGATCGGCACATTGTGCAGATTTTTCACTGAAGATGTTTTTTTATGCGGTATTTGAAATACACACAAAGATGCAAACAAATAACTCAATTTATTTTTACAGTAAGAAAATAAACATTTTATTGCCTAAAGTGCAACAACACAGCTTTCCTTTGATCATTTACAGAAAAGGGTGCATCTGCAGCCACACAGACACTTCTAACATCAGCATGTGAAAAGCTGAGGCCTTTCTGCTTGACTTAGAGCTGTGTACAGATGATCTGGTGATTATTTATGGATTGCCAGATCAATAAGCTCATATTAAAAGGTGTTTAATAGGAGAAAATAATGTTTGTTTGTTTTTTTACTTGAATGTAAAATATATATATTTTTTGGCTTAATTGCTGCTATGAGGGTGTGGTTCTTTCAGAAAATGTCTCTTTTTTTCGTTTGTGTAGTCCAGTTAACAATTAGTCAATTACTAAATTAGTTGACAATTATTTCAATAATTAATTTATAATGATTAATCAGAGTTTTAACCATTTTAATATGATTAATCATTTTAATCCAATTAATCATTCTAATCCGATTAATCGTTTCAGCCCTAATTACTGCCCTAATTTTACAATTTTCCATTTGAAAAGGAAAAAATATTTATGTGAAAACCAGAAAAACATTCAACTTCCACTCGTGACTCACAGTTGCGGTCGTCGAGGCTTAAGCAGCGATCACACAGCCTCAGCTCTCTGGCCCAGTCGGGTCGAGGCAGACGGGCTGAGACCCACCCTCTGTGGTGCCAGCTGCCGTAGGACTTTGGATTCACTTTCAGGCAAGACTCCAGAAACGACAACTCAGCCTCGTAAATCTTCTGCGCTTCATCCTCGTCTCTGAGGTGGACACGGAGAAACAGAGTCATCATTCTAGCTCCAGTGTCTCTCCTGCTGGCTTCAGACACAACAACAGGAAGAGAAAAAAAAACAAAACAAACAAAATTGCTAACTTGACAGTTTCCAGGTGCGTCAGGATCTCTCGTCGGTAGTTCCAGAGGGTTGCAAAGTCAGGGTTTGCAGAGAGGAGCTGCTGAGTCAGCTGCAGGGCTTCGTCATCAAAAACACCATCCTTCCTCTGACACAGCGGAGACAGGGAAGGAGGAGAAACAAGAATACAAACATGGATTACACTGCAAATAAATGGAAAACATCTGGATACATCAATCTTCAAACCATCCCTTGTAGCTGTGACTGGATGTTCAGGGTTGTTGTCCTGCTGGAAGGAGAACCGCCCTGCAGCGCCGTCTAACACGTTTCTACTCAAACATCTCCCTACATTGAGCTGAAAACATCGTCTGAAGAAACGGGACCTGTTGTCCCACATCATGCTGCTGCCATCACCATGTTTCTTTATGATGATGGTGAGTTCAGGCTAAAGTGCAGTGTTAGTTTACAGTCACAGGAAAAGTTTTGAAAACAGACCAAAAAGCTTAACCTTCCAGCTGTGTTCCTCGAATTGGCATTTATCATATCGTTTATCATCATGATAAGACTTTTGATTTATTGTTGCCATGATAAATTGCAGTTACCGATAAATAACCAGCAGTTTGATCAAAAATGTTTTTGCTATTTTCTCTGCTGTTTTCACAAGACCATCAATAAACATCAGTACATTTGAAAAATTTACAGTGTAATGAAATGATTCACACTTCTTTAAATATGTGGCGTCCTGAAGAAGTTTATTTTAGGTTGGAACGTTTCTCAAGAAGGATATTTGTGTTTTGTGGTTCTAGATCCCATCCATTACCTAAAAGAGAAGCAATATTGGAATATTGCGATAAAAGTCCACATTGCTCACCGCTAGTGCGGTTTGTTCACTAATGTTCTCTGACAAACATTTGTGGCCTTCACTTAAAAGCTTTACCTGCACAGAAATGAATAAAACCACTGATTAATTAAAAACTAGAAGACTTCAGAGAGCAACTGGTTGCTCTCACTTTTATTCTACCAGATTAATACAAACACAGGCCACACTTTTCAGATTTTTGTTGATGGAAAAGAAACAAAAATCTGACTATGCATCCCCTTTTCACCTAAAAATAGTGCACCGTAGGACAATTTTAAGAAGCTTAAATACGTTTACAAACCATTATAATATCCCACATTCAATAAGTTTTGATTTAGCCAAACGTTGCCTCAACGGAGATGGTTAAAGTTAAAAAAAAAAAAAAACAAAACTCATATTTTTCCAGTTAGTACATCACCAATTTTTCAAATTATTACGGAGTGATGAAGCTGCAAAAACGCATGATTTTACAAAAGTTTTAAAACGGTGTTGCTGAAATCACCTTGGAAAAGCAGGCGTCGCGAGCAGCCACGTAGACCTTCAGCTTCTTCTCCCGCTCCTTCCTTTTCTCCTCCTCCTGCTGGGCTGTGGTTTTAACCTTCACACGGCCGTGCTAAAGCAGGACAATGAAATTTACCTTATGAGGCCAGGCTGCTTTAGTAGCTAAAACATGTTCAGAAGCGCCTCAAAGTACATCTCTGCTCAGCTCATTCAATGCTTATATTCCTGCAATAACAAAAGATAAACTACCAAAGTGGTTTATTAATCCCTGAACTCTTCACATACATTACATTAGTGATTTAAGCGTAAAAGCGACCCTGTTAATTTATAACATCCATATGGTTGAATATATATCTACATCTGGACGTGAGCAGGTCATCTAGAACAAGAACCGGCTGATAGCGTTGCTTTACTCCACCTATTCTGGTTCTCTGTAATCACATGTGATTTATCTGTTAAAGTGCTTTAGGATGGAATTTGTCGTAAATTCTGCTATATGAATAAATTTACCTGAATCTAAGAATATCCTCTTTTCTCAGGATGTTTAAGTTTGAGGACCAACCATTCCACATTGTTGATGGTAAAATTGAACTGAGTAGCTGAATTGATTTCACTTTATTTGCAATAATTCAGACTGGGCCTGTCAAGATAACAAATTTTGCTGGACGATAAATTGTCCCAGAACTTATTGCTATAAACAATAATATTGTTGTTTTGAGACCATTTTCAAGTAATATAATAGTAATAAAGGCATAATAATGCAAGAACATATTCTCAAGGATCAATAACCTTTAAATTATAATAACATTTAAACACTTTAACTGGAAGACAGTTGAAATATCCAAAATTATCTTAAAAAAATGGATAGTTGAGACCAAAACACCAGACTGACGACTTTTATCATTCAGTTTTTGGTAAAAAGAGAGAGAAAATAGGAAAAACGATAAATCAAGCAAATGAAAATTATTGAGTTTCTTTTAATTTATCATGTGATTAACTGATTAACTGTTTTGTTGTGACGAGCCTAATTCAGCCACTTGTTATTAATTTTCATAACATGACATTCATATCTGTTTCAATACAACTTGCACACAGGATCACAACACATTTACCAACTTATCAGTTACAGGACAGTAGAAATAGATGGATGGCATTTAGCCAAGCAGACAGTGATAACAGACTCAAAATATCTAGTCAAATCCTCTGATACAATAAAACCTAAAGATCTCAAATGAGTTTATGCACTCAAATGTGTGCATTTATAGAGTTTGAAATAAGCAAAGAGCGAAAATGTATCCTACCATTGCTGCTGATGTGTAGGGAGAAGCTCCTTCAGAAATCTGTTTACATGTGAAGAGAAAAACAGGATAAGGCCTGAGCAATGACCAAAAGAAGAAGAACAACAGAGAGTATAACGAGCTAACACGGAAGTAACGAACAAGCATACTATAAAGTTTCAGTATGATTGATTAGATCTGTAAACATCCTGTCTATGAGCAGAGCAGCCTGAAGCTGTGTTGTAAATGAGCCCAGATGTCAGTGAACGCCACGGGGCAGGGCTCCTTCACTGTTCAATGAAAACGGCATGTTTTAGCAGAAAGAAACGGAGGAGAATATAGTTCCGACACCGCACCACGAACAGCTCGGTATTAATCCGACAAAACACTCACCTGCTTGCTTTGTAAGCGAATGAGATGTTGAATCACCGTGCGATTTGATTTGTCATGTCAGGGTTTCTGAACAACTACAATTTCCTCTCTTCCGGCTCATGAAAATTACGTCACGCGAGAAGGGGGCGGGGCGAAAGGTTCTTTCTGGAATGTTAGCAGCGACGCTTTGTTGCCCTCTGGTGGAGAAAACTATAAACAGCAAATAGCAGGAGTTTGATATTTGGTTTTGTGTAAAAGTATTAAGATTAAATTAAGGCTAGCCACAATTTCACAGTTCACAATTTTGATCCGGCGTGGAGAGTTTTGGCCTTAATTCGACGCCATAACAAGGTAGCAAAAGAGCTTATCATTTATATTAGCAACCACTGCATTGTTTCTGCACGTAGCAATATGGATACTGAAGTCGAGGTTGGTCGACGAGTTCCAACTTTCCCACTAAAATTTTCTAATTAAGGGTGTGTTCTGTCAAGGATATAGGCTATGTTAACTTGAAGATGGGATTTGTGCGTCTTTACAACGCAATTTCAGAAGTTCCGCAACAAGAAATCTGAACTTGTACAGCTAACTACTTGAATGAAAAACTCACTAGCATGTAAAATCAAATTAAGTGAAATTGCAAAAATAGTTTTAAACAATTTCTGAATTTAAATTTGACAGATTTACGCAATAAATTGATTATTTATTTGCATTCTTGTTTAACTTATGAATGTTCAAAGTAAAACTCCCAACTACTATCATATTATGCTTTTTTTGCTGGAATTGTTTTACTACTGCAGATGTTCTAATTAACAAAATAATAAGATCTCTGGCAGCTCTTCTTTCTGCAGAGAACAACATGATACAATTCAGAATATTGAAAAAAAGAAAGAAAGAATGAATCATTGTATGAATCATGGAGAGGAACACATGGCTCCTCACTGTGTGCTCATTAGCAATCATGTGACCTGTGTAGTGAATCATGTGTGTTTAATTCATTAGCTAACATTCAGAAATAACATATGTTCTGCAGCAGCAACTCTGTGTGTTGTCTACATATACTGTTACATCTGAAACCTCTGCCAAATGAGTAGAAGTGTGTGTAAACAAAGATTTCAATAGTTGGAGGGGAAAAAATACATCGACAGCTTTTGTGAAGTGTTTTATATAGAGTAAGAAGTTAGAGAATCAGGGTTTAAAAGCCTTGAAGTCACAGATTTTAAAAACATTAGGTAAGCTGAGCAAGCTATGTTTTATTTGCTCAGTATAATATGTGAATTAAGTGCAAGTAATTGTTAGCTTGTTAGGTTTAATGATTTTTTGGTAATTTCTGTAGATTCAATCAGGATGGTCTTCAACTCAGTTTTGCAGAAATACTAAAACAAAAACTGGGTTTCTTGTCTGCATGATGTTAGAGGCATGATGCTGTTGTATAATCTTTTTGTCCTTTATGTATGAGGACCGTATTACATTGGAGAAGAAATTGGATCTTGCATTTGTTCTTGAAATACACGTTTGAAGACAGTGAGATATTCTGTTATCACATTGCAGTGTTTTCCTGTTAGTTCTCATTCCAAAACACAGTTCCACTAAGTATTCACATTTGTCCCAGACCCTTTAACATAGTTGCTAATATTAGCCAAACTCCTCTGTCCCTCAGCTCCTTCACAAACCCTCATTCTCATATGCAACAGCAGCACCACCTAGTGGTCAGTGGCACAACCGTTTTTGACTCACCAGAGAAATGTGAAAATACTCAAAATTCACACAAGAGGAGATAGTAAGATGGATTGGAAAGTGAAATGCTCTCTCCGGAACGTTGTCCTACTTCTGGGAGCCAGCAGGGTCATGATAGAGGAAAGTCACAGAGGGGAGGCTAGTACTATGCAGTTTTTCTGTGTCGTGATAGTAGGAGATACCCGATGCCACACTGCAGGTATGATATCTGCTGCTACTCAGCTTACACATTCAGTGTGACCTGAAGCACCTCTGCTCTGCTTTGCTCTGGTAGCCGCATGTATCCTCTGTTGCTACTGCCATGACAGTGGCTGTCACCAAAGACTAGGTGTCCGGGGTCAGAGATTGGAGCAGTGTGAGTGTGTGTGTGTTTTTTTTTTCACACCCAAACCAGCTCCAACAACAAGGGGAGTTTGGCTCTGCAAAAGGACAAACTGTGAGGTGGATTTCTGAATCTGAAGGATGCCGTGAGCTCTGAAGGAGCAGAAAAACATTTGTGACTGGAGTTCACCAACCTGACCTACTCTGGTTTGATATTTGAGCTTTAGACTGATGAGGTTGCCATAGAGATCAATGTTATTAAGCTTAGGTTCGAGTTTCAAAACACTTTGCACATTTGTTTAATTAAAGGGGTAGTATTATGTAAAATTGACTTTTTCTGAGCTTTCCATCAGGTTATAATGTTTTTCCCGCATCAAAAACGTACCTGGTGTTGCTTTGATTCTTTCATCCATGTCTGAATTTTCCATGGCAACCATTCAGTTGTGCAAACCACCTGGTCAGACCCAGCGCCGCTTTCAAGATGAAGCTCCTCCTCAAAGTTGCATCTTCCAAGCTTCTGAGCTTAAGCATCACAGAGTAGTCATCCCCCGCAACTCCCCACTTAGCTCCTTCAAACTAGCCAGCAGCAATTAGTGAAGAACACCTGGTGGAGTTGAGCTCATTACATTTCTCAGTTCAGCATTGGTAAAATAAAGGGCTAATAGTTGAGCAATGTGACTTCCTGACGGTTTAGAGTTGGAAAGAGCAAGAGTTTCTTAAAGAGACAGAGGCCCAATTTCAAGGCGTTGAATTGCAATTAAAATTTCTTTTGACTTTGTAGTCAGATTTGATCCGTACAGTATTTTTATCACAACTGAAGGCTACATAGTTACTTGATTGTGCTGTAGAAAGTCACTGCACTAGTTCCAGTGCCTGACTGTTAAGGCAGTGTTTTAACAGTCAGAATAAGTTTTGTGCTAATTATAATAACGTGTCAAGAAGATTACATGGTGGGTCATAATCATTGACACACTTCATTATCAACTGAGGTTGACTGTACTGCACGGAGAGACTCTGTGTGTCCTGGGGACGTTTGTGCTCCATCTACCGGTGTCGTTTGTGACCTTGTCTTCTTCACTGCCGGCTCCAAATGCAGACCGTGTCGCAGCAGAGATTAACAAATCTGTACAGCATAAAAAGCTGACCCAGTCATCCTGTCCTGACCCACGCAGCGTTAAAGACGAGTAGTGGGCACCTTATCTCCCTCGACACTGGGACAGGGAAGAGACTTCTGTGTTTGAAGTGTTGTGGAAAGTGGCTTCTTTTGAATTCAGAGGTGAAAGGGAGAAAAAGAAAAGCTGTGGCGTTCAATATTAAAGATCTGCTTGTTTGTAAATAGATAAGCAACTCAGAAGTGCTTTTTTTGCCCTCTATATTTTCATTTGATTACATTTGTCTTCATGATGTTTGAATCAATTCAGTTTATTTTGGTAAATTTTTCTTGACATAGATATTCAGCTAATATTAAGTAGGAAGAGCAGAACATAATAGAGCATAGTTCTTATGTTTGAAGAAAATGTCATAACTTTGACTCGATAAGTTAGCTTTAAAGTTTATCAGCAGTTTTATAAAATTACATAAAACATGAAATAAAATACAACTGTATAATTACTGTAAAAATTATACATTTAGCTGAGTAAAATATCTGTTGTGCATCTTTCAAAATAAAAGCAGATAGAAATACACTAGCTCCAGGTATAAAAGTCACCGTTCAGCTGTTTTGTTCTTTGGGTGCATCGTACCTAAGAACCAATATTCTTATTGTCCACTTGCCACATTAACACAAGTCTATTATGACTCTATTCATTTACGATGGAGTCATTGTCATAGTCCATAGATAGCACAGATCTGTATCCTGATGTGTCAGAGAAGTTGACGGTCAGCTGGTTGTCCAGATTTTTGGTGACGTGAAGGTTGGAGAGCCAACCCAGAACTTTGTCAAAGTTGCTGCTGGATACTTTCGGCTCTGACGAAGAACAAGCAATGGATTGTGTTGGACTGTGGTCTGCCACTGAAAAGGAAACAATAGCACATTTATCAGCAAGTGTATTATTGTGGCTGCAGCAATTGATAAGTTAAATTTTTTTTTTTCTTACAGTCAGGAAGCAAGACGTCCATGCTGCTCTGAAGAACAGTTGAGGATTTCAGTAGTTCCTTATCAAGCCTTTCAATTTCCTGGTTGATTTTGCTGTCTAATTCTTTCTGCTTTTCCTTTTGGTCTGTCAACCATTGACCAGTAAACATGGCTGTTAAGTTGGTCATATCAGCAACTATCATAAAAAAAAAAAAAAAAATCACACAGGTCACGTACAGTGGGGTAAACCACATAACTTTGTCTTCATTGCAGTATACTCACTGGGTGATTTGGATTTAGTCGCCCCCATAGACGCTCGGAGGACTGCTTGGAGCTCCAGAAGGGTTCCCTTGAAACCTAGCAAGAGCTCTAGCTCTCTCCTTCGGTACTCGCTTGCCAGGCGTCGCTTAAGCACATTTTTCAGCTGCTTCCTGTTGGCTTTCTCAGAGATCCTCTGGTGGGTCTCTTCCATGTCAGGGCAGAAGAGCTGGCCTCCGTTTCCTGCCACGATTTCCTCGATCTTCTCAAACAACTCTGCGACCTGAGTCTGATCCCTTTTCTTCATATTATTTATGGAGTGGTATCGATTCTCACACTTGTCCACCAACCAGCGCAGAGCCTCAGGCTCCCTCTCAATGTGCTCCTCGATGGACCTGTCTGCTAGTTGGTCTCCATGCGTGAACACAACAATTGTGTGTTTCCAGATCCTGACATCAAAAAGCTTCATGTGTTCTTCCACAGCAAATCGGTCTGGATCTCTGAATGTCGGGTTTAAAGGAACCACCAGCAGAACTGCGTGGACACCGGACGGAGACACACCTCGAACCATTTCTTTGTCTGTCTCTTCGGTCCAGCTGGACGAGTCTCTCCACCAACCCGGGGTATCGATCACGGTGACCTGTCGACCGTCTGCCGTCCTATTCTCTACCTTGCACTCTTTGTTCTGGCACGTCACAAACACTTCTTTACCCAGGATTGTGTTTCCTGTTGCACTCTTCCCAGAACTTTTCTGCCCAAGCAGAAGAATCCTCAACACATCCAACCTTTTCCTGGAGCCTGAGGAGAAAACAACCGGGCCAATCGATCAGCTGATACAGACACAGTATTCATCAACAGAATGTGGCTTTCGAATATAAGTGAAAGGTTTAAACGACTGACACGTACCTGCTGAACTCCTCATAGCTTTGACATGTTTTTGCCTCAGCATTGCTGCCTCCTCCACGCCTTTGCGTCTTTCTTCAATGTCAACACGCAGTTGCTGATCTGAAGCAAAATACTTCCAATTGTTTTCTGCCAAAGTTCCAGTGATTTTCTCCATCAGTTCTGTGATCTGTCTGCGATCGCTTGCATTCTTGTTGTTAATGACATGATATCTGTTCTCACATAGGTCCACTAAAGACTGCAGGGCCTCCCCCTCTCCTTCAATGTACTCTTCTATGGATTTTGCCCCCAGCCAGTCTCCCCTACTAAAAACTATCACCGTGTGTTTCCACACGACTCCATCTCCGAGAAGCTCCAGGTGGGATGTTGCTGCTTTCAAGTTCTTGTTGTGGAAGGACGCATCAGCATCTATCACTAACAGGAAGATTTGTGGTCCAGGGGTGCACAGAAACATGCTGTTGATTATTTCTTCTTTGACGGCTTCTGGAGTGTCACGGGCATGGAAGCCTTTCCACCAACCCGGCGTGTCGACGAGCGTGACGTCGGTTTCGTCTACAAACCCTTTGCGAACCAATGACTTTGCTGTTCGCTTCCCGTCTTCCTGTTCTTTCAAACCGAAGAGAGTGTTCCCCACTGAAGTCTTCCCAGCATTTCGGCTACCCAAGAGAATCATTTGGAGTTTTGGGATCGACTTCTTGTCCTCTGTTATCAGACGAATACAAAAACATTTATTTAACAAATATATCATTGTTTTAATGTGTTAAACTGTAACTAATCTGGAACTGGAACATCTCTTAGAAGATATATAATGCTGTTGGGTGGGTTAGACATTTAGGCATGTAAAAAAGTATAATTTTTAAGTGTAAGCTGCCTTTTTTTAATCTAAGGAATGCAGGGTTTCCCACAGTTTATTATAAGCCTGGCAGGCAACCAGGCTTTACTTGTGCCTCCACCAGGCTTAGCGTTGTTTATTTATTTGAGTTTTCTTTAGTCATTACCTTTTTTAAGACTTTATAGTTGATGTTTAGGTATTAATCTTCCAGCCTTCCAATAACGCATAACTATCAAGTTGTATTTCAAATTTTCTGTCAACTTTAAACTGTTTTTAACTCAAAAACATGGCGACCGGCTGATGTGTGCCCTAGTCCCCCGAACACTAGGGCTTAGCAAGTTTTCTGGGAGAAACCCCATGGTTATGTTTCTTAAAAAGTATTTGAATCAGTGAAGTCAATCAAACTGCATTTCCTCCCCAGAGACTAAAATTTTTGAACATTTTAATTATCTGAAGTAACCCTACCCCCAACATGCAGAAGGACAGTTTGTTTCTATGAGGCAATTATAATTTCTTAATGTTTTTTTCAGTTTAGATTAAATATAGGTGGCATTTCATCTAAATCCCTTCAGTTTAGATAAAACTAAACTGTTTCATTTAAAACTAAAACTGTGATGCTGTTATGTTTTGGTAAGTAGTTAGATTTCATCATATTGTGCCTATTTCTGTGTGTGTCTGTGTGCAGCTATAGTCACTGTTACCTGGAATCAGTTTCATCCTCTGCTGTCTTTGCTCCTGAGCCTTTATCCATCTCTCTTTCGCCCTCCTGGCGACATCTTCTTGCTTTCTGGTGATGACCAGAAGAGTTTGCTCGTCTATTTTGTAAAAAGCCCCACGGTTGTTATCCATCATCTCGTCCATCTTCTCCAGCAGCCCTGAGACCTGACACAAATCATGCTTGTCCTTGTTATTGAACACATGGTACCTGTTCCCACACTTCCCCACCAGCCACTTGAGCGAATCTCCCTCGCTCTCGATGTGCTGCTCTATCGTCTTCTCTCCAAGGTAATCCCCACAGGTGAACAGCACCATGATGAATCGCCAGACCCGCTCTCCCAACAGCTTCATGTGCTCCTCCACCGTAGTCCTCTGCTCCCGGGTGAAAGCTGTGTCTATAGGTACAACCAGGAGGAAGAAGTGCGGACCAGGCGGACACTTGGATGGATAGAGTTTAAAACTTTGCTTTTCCCCCTCTGGGATGTCGGTGAGGGAAAGAGAGCTGCTCCACCCAGGGGTGTCGACCATGATCAGCCTGCTGCCATCCACCTCCCCATGCCTCACTTCCACCTTCATCGTTCTGGCTCGTCCACATTCGAACCTTTCCCCCCTCAGGATGGTGTTACCAGACCAGCTCTTGCCTCCCCATCGGCCGCCGATCAGGATGATTCTCTTCTCTGAAAGGGTTGAGTTCCCTGCCCCCTCTTTGGAAAATGGAAGAAAATCTAACATTATTGCTCAATTAACTCTGATGTGGAAAGTTTCTGAACACCTCTAATTTCTACTTTGCCTCCAACTTTATTCTATCCTTTCAAGATGTTCTTGATCCGTAGTCCTTCAGGTTTTCTGAAGGTTTTTGAGGTCTTTCTTTTGACCTTAGAAGTGTAGTTTTATCTAATGTTATATCTGATTCTGTGCTTCAAATATAAGACAACAAAGTAAAAACAAAGACCTAATAAAACAGTAGATGCTGTATTGACGAGTACCTGACAGTCTAATCTTTAAGAAAAAATTAATCTTAACTTAAGAACCTGTCAGATACACCAACCTACTGATTTTTTTTTTTTTACTGAATGCCAAGTTTACAGCTAAAACCTGTCCACTCATCACGTTTCTCCTGCTAAAATACTGTTATACCTCTGTTGAAACGTATCATCTTTGCTACTTTTCACAGAATCGACTGAATAAATGGGAGAAAATTAGTGCCACTGCCGGTTATGATGCTAAAAGATCCGCCTTAAAACTGTCTCTGTGTGTGTCAACACATCACTGATTCATCCCTTGGGTTTAGCAGCCTATTTTATGCCTGAATGATTTACAGGTCACAGCTAAGCAGCTTATCAAATCAGAAAACATCCCTCAGAGGATGGTTTGAACTGAACATTTAAAAAAAATAAAAATAAAATAAAAAACAAAGACAAATAGCGAGAGATCTTCAGAAGCTTCTGATTAAGATCATGAATGGATTTTTAAAAATGTCTTCTGAACAGGAAGTCTTAAAAAAAATAATGACCTTAGCATTATAATGCTCATTATTAGATGTGTCCTATTTTAATTCCCTGTTTGACACCTACAAGGAAATGTGTTTACTTGTGACCAAATTCACAAAGGACCCTCCTAGAAAAGGCTGAATATTCCTCGAGCTGAGAGGCTTTTCGGTTTGAAAACGCAGTCGTCGCTAAACCTGACTTTGATGTTTTTAAAAGACTGACACTAAGGTAACGCTCTGGGGAAAGCTATTTTTCACTCATCAGACGCGCGCTCTAATGAGAATCAGTAAGATGTGATGAAACTGAAGCAGGAGTTTCATTTTTAGACTGAACCCTGAACTATAGCGAGAAATCAAGCAACAGAGAAAATAAAAATCTTAACCAAATCTTCCCAGAATTACTCAAAGAAAGCAGCTCCTGTACATCTTGTCTTATTTTGTAGAAGTTATCAAATAATAGATACCTGAGTTACATAAGTCCATACTCTTTATAACACCAACAAGTTATAAGTAAACAAAATCTTTCAAGCAGCCGTGAATAACGTTACTAAAACTGAACACAATGTTTATGTCGCAAGCTCATTTAGCCAAAAATATACCTCCATAGTGAAGTATGGTGATGGCAGCATCATGCTGTGAGAATTTCTGCTTTTGACAGGAAACAGACTGAATTTGATTCAAACACAAAATAGCTAATTGTGCACTTAAAAAATGGTCCAATGTATAAAATAATAAAATACATTTTTAAAAACTGTTTGCAGTACTTAAATTATGAAATTATGAAAAACATCGCGCAGTGATGGTGACAGGTTTGAGGTAACTTTTGGTACAACGTCCTGGAAAAATAAAATGATAGATTTATAAAGATATTAAATATTTTCTAAGTTCAAGCAATCTTTGTCAGTAACTACATCCCTAAAAAACTCAAACTTTTACTTATTCCTACTTTAGTTAATAGTTACTCAGAATGATAAAAGTGAAGGGATCTGCATTATCTGCACAGCAGTCTGAAGGTGTGTTTGTTTTTCTGTCTCTTGACATTCAGTTCCCACAGTTTTCTTTTGTAACTTTACGGGAACTGAGGCTTTGTCCTCTAAGTAGAAAATATGCAGCCTAACTAGTTTGTCGCTATGTAGTTTACTGTACCTGCAGATGGCATCTAACTTTAGTTTCCTTCTGCTACAAGTCAAATGTTCCAAATGTTCATCTTGTACAGGACCAAGTACAAGATGAACTTGATGTAATAATTCAGCTTATTATCAAATGTATAATCTTAGCTTTTGAACCTGAGAACATTTCACAATCTTTTTTTTATTTCACTGAAAAACAGGGACTCATTACTGACACATTTTTATTAAATACTGAATTCTGTATTTTGTTCTGCAGGCAGCAGCTGCAGGACTGGTGACTGAAGGAGATACTAAACAAGGAATGTGAGAATGAGACACACTGAGATTGTTTACCTTCATACTTTCTTTTCCCTGCTAATGTCTGCTCTTAGGTTTTGTGTACATTTCTTAAAATTTTCAAAATCTACCAAGTTCGGCATTTGTACAGCATAGAACGTCTTTGGTTGCAGATTTATGGCATGCTCAAACAAGTTAAAGACTTTTTTTTTTCTTTTTACAGCAGGTCCTGATTAACTTACCAGGATGGCTTCCCATCTTTTCTTCCATCTGGCCTTCTCTTTTTGAATCGTGTCCTTTGGTCTACACTGCACTGGTCACAGTAGAAATATTAAAGAGCTAGAAATAGTAAAATGTATCTGGGGATATTTTGCTGTCAGACCTGTGCAGTCTCTGTATGCAATGAGAAAACAAAAACAAAAGTACCTCTAATGTAGGGAGCACAAATGAATGCAGTTGAACAGGTTTCAACTGCAAAAGGAAGAAAGGACAAATGTTCCTGGTAGTCGTGTCTGATATCACGGTGAAGTGACATCAGACATGAGTTCAGGCCACCAGATCAAATGTATATGACAAAAAGATCACTTTCTTTATCATTTTGGATGTTTTCTTCTTTTGTTTTGTTTTTTTCTTTTAAAGATTAGCATCCATTTATTCACCTTGTTATATCAGAGGACACCAGCATAAACCTTAACCAAATGCCAAATCTTGAAACATTGTCAAAATACACAACAAAATGTCCAACAGACAAACATTTATTCTTTGCACATAAACAAGTTTATGCTTAAGGAAAAGTAACAAATGTTTTTCTTTTATCCAGACAGCAGTTCAAAAATCAGGACATGCATTGTTTTTAGCCTGAATTTGCAACATTACTCATTTATGGCACATTTGTACTGGAATTATTACATGGTCTATTTTTGAAGAATATTACAAATAAAATAAACAGGTTCAAACCTAAGAATCGGTTCAATCGCAATTTGAATGGAGGATTAAATTTTAAATATTGAAAAGTTAAATTCGAATCCGTTTGTGTTCATTCTTCATTTTAGTTTTCATGGTTCTGAGCTGATTAAACATATTTTTTTCTGTCTATCATTTAATGAACTGTATTAAATAGGAGGAATAATAATATAATACTTTTTTAAAAAAAAATACTAGACTATAATGCCCTTGAAGTTCTGCAACAGTCTCTGCTTTTAAGTCTGTAAATATGCAGAATTCACTCACTGACAGAAAAAAAGTTAACGAAATAAAACCAGATGTGTTCAAGGTCTTATCACGTTTATGCAACGGCTACAAAATCAGGTCGGTTAAGAAGTAGAGTTGGTAAAGCAAGCACAGTGATGGTGGTCCGGCAGTACGCCACGGTGTCAGAGTTCATATCCACGGTAACGTCTCGCATTATGCCGCGTACGGCTGGGCATTACATTTGGAAACGAGGCAGTGGATTCGTCGTGCAGCTGTCTGGTCACGGCGCTATCAGTATCCCTCAAATCCCCAACCCGACATTTGTGAAAAATATTCAGGCATATTTTCTTTCTCGTTTAACGTGGCAGCGTGAAGCGCTGCAGTGACAACGATCCCTCACTTGTGTATTCCCGTCAGCTTATCAATGCAACTGTGACTTTATCATTCCAATTTCCTCCTCACAGCTTATCTTGGACATCAGATATTCAGAAAGCAGTTCAGAACACTTTCAGTTGCCTAAAACCCGATGGCTATTTTTTTTTTTTTTTTTTTTTTCCTTGGAAAGTTACTGAATATGCAAAGTAGTCAGACTGAATATTTATGAAATTGCCTGAAGACTTTTTACTTTTCTTTCTGTTAACTTGAAGACATGATTATTCTGATTACACCTCTGCAAAGCCGTAAGAGGGGTCAGAGGGGACCTCAAGCCATATATGCTGAGCGTAAGGTCAGCGTGTCTTGGTGCAGCACTGTCAGGGCTGATCCCTGTGGAAATACCCAACAATAGGAAGTCGATCTTCATCAATCCAGGCCTGATGGTTTACATCAGTCTCCAGAAAGTGTCATATATTGTGCACAGTAAGATGGCAGGCGCCGATGGAATGGCGTTCTCCCTTTGGCGAGGTCTGTTTGACGTCGCTTGAATCTTCACGATGTCTGTGGATATCCACAGGAGGTCACTCGGTCCGACATCTGACCACTGAGACTTTTACCTAAAGTATCTACAGTTATGCTCAAAACTGCTAGTTGATTTCAATGTAAAATTGTTTTCATATAACCAAGAAAGTTTTTTTTCTAATAGGAAATAAGGCAGGCGTCACTCAAGAGATGCTTCTCAACGTAAAATGAAGACCAATTCAGAATTTTAGTGAATTTGTTTACATTTAAAAAAATATATAGTAGGTCTCGAAAACTATTCATACCCCTCTCAATTGTCAGTGGAAACATATTTAATGGTATTAAAACAACCAAACCCCTGTCATGACTGCTGACCAGCTTTTTTTTTTTTACTGTTTTTCCACTGGTATTTTGAGGATTTATCTTTGGCAAAGAGCTTCAACCCTTTAAGGTTGAAAGGTCTCTTTGCCATCACCTTAATCTTTAACTCCCTCCAAAGACCCTCAACAAAATTCAAACATGACTTTGTGTGAGCCAAGCTGAAACAACTTCAACTCTGAAGACACATGCTGGTTAAATTAAAATAATCTTTTAAATTTGACGCTGAAGATTACTTTAAACCCACATATTTAGAGGTTATGAATAATGTAAAGGTACAATGTGATCGCTCAGCCTCATTCAAAGCCCACAGTTTCAACCACATTAGTCAAGGTCAAGTCCGTATAACTCATCTATGATGTGCTGTTTGTGTCTAGAGACCTTCCTCCATTATTCTGACTTACTGTCAGGTGCTCCAGTAACTGCTGAACAACTTACGAGTACTATCTGCCACTAACTAAACCATTTCTTCTGTGCAATTATTATTATTTTTTTTTTGTCAGTGAGTGGATGCTCCGACTGATTGTCCCACAAAATAAGCTAGCAGTCCATGACCTCTGGGTGACCTTCTATGTGCCAGGATAAAGCTGCTTATCTAACAGATTGGACATCTCCATCCAGGACAAGTCCCACTGCACCTCCGTCGCATCCTGTTTGGTGACAGGCGGCGGCACTGCTGGGAGGCTGTCTTTAGAAAGTGGCCAGCAGCTCCGAGTGGAAAACATCCGGCGTCTTTGAGAAAAAGAAGAAAGAAAAGAATTCGACCAACAGGCTGCAGGAGGTAGGGTTGGCAGAGGAGTACGTTACTGTACCTGTTGCGTTGAATGAACCAAATTAGAGGAATCGGGAGCAGAAGAACAACACAGCACGACACAACAATCCATATCCACGCACCTGATACAGAGCAGGAATTTTACTTTTGTTAGAAAACAATGTATAAAGTGAATTGTACTTTACTTGCAAAATATTATAAAATAAAAATCAATCTGATGTAGCCTTTTGGGACTGTAACTAGTCTACAGGACGGTTGCTTTAGAAAAAAAAAAAAACACTATTAGACTTTGACTAGACTCGACTGAAAACCAAGGTCAGTCAGTTCAGTACTGTAATAATACAACTGTCACCATATGATCGGCCCTGTTTCAGTGGCACACAAAGGCTTCAGGTAAGTAATGCTCCAATATTGGCTGCTTACAAATGTAATATAACCTGTTCACAAGTTAAGTCAGGATATCACTGATCAATGCCTTTGTGACAAAATTTATACAAGTGCTGCTTAGGTCACTCAATAATAGCATTACTTAATTTTATGCTGCACAGTGCAGAAGCTCTGTCTGTGCTGGTGAAAAGTTGCTCACCCCAACATGACGATTGCTTGAAGAGGATCCAACATCAGGGCAGCTGGTTTTATTTTTCTCATTAATTCAGGTAACATTCATATATTTTTTTATTTATAAGATGTTTTCATGTGAAATCATTAACCATACATCTTTTTGAGTGCACTATGTACTTCTTAGTGCATATTAAATTTAAAGTAAACACATCTAGCAGCTAAAGTTATATGAATGAACAACTCAGGTTTATGTTTTTTTTTAAATGTTGCACTTGTGACATTTAAACAGTTTTCACTTCAGCAACTACAATGAATCTGACCTCAGAAATGCCTTCAACACTTTTTAATACTTCGCATTCTATATACATCAAACTCCTGTGTTTTATTTTGTTTTCTTATCAGTTGACAGGTATAACGCCAATATTTCATAAGATGTTACCATTTGTCGAGGCTTCTGTCCCATCTTTTGATGTAAAGTTGCCTGGAAGATCTTAAAAAAAACAACAAGCCGTTATTTATCAGTATTGACTAAATACATTAATGAAAAACTGAACAGCAGAAACAAGGCAAACAGCTGACCTGACTGAACCTCATACAACTCATTTTTCTACATGTTTGCCTCTAGTTTTCCCACATCCCTTCGGTTGTTGTGTGGTAAGAAGAAACATGATGGCTAACCTGCTAGCTGCTCACCTGACCCGTTGAGCGTGACACACCCCTCCATGCTGATGTTGCTGCCTTTCTGCTCCACTTTGATTTCTGAGCCGTTCGGCCACAGGCACACGCTGGGCTCTTCTTAAGGGACAGAAAAACATCGCTGTGGTCTCTTTTTTTTTTTTTTTTTGCTTGTGCATGACAGATGGGTGCAGCCAATACTTCACCTGAATTTCTTACCTTCAAGTGCAGCAACATGGAGAATGAAGAACGCGGACACACCTAAAACACATACAGAAACTGTTTCACACAAACGCATCTCTTCATAATCTACAACAGGTTTTTTTTCCACGAGATCACAGTCAGCAGCTCGGATCCTTCACACAGTCAAAGCCAGAGCAGATTCACAAGGTTGATTTTGAGCTACGTAACAAAAAGCAACGTTTTAAAAGTTCTTAATTAAAGGTGAGGCGAACAGATCTAAGAGGAAGATGCCTTCATTTGTAAAGCATAACAATCCCTCGCTCTGCCAAGACAGCACTTTGAAGACCACGGAGGCTGCATTTTTACCTTCCTCTCAGAGTCACAGCGCTACTACACAGGCATGTCGGCGAGCCCAGCTTCCCATTCCTTAATGAGGCTGTTTAGACTGTTATCCTCCCCGTGGGAGCACAAGGAATGTACACATATTTGCTGTATTTTCCTGCTAAAGACACCCACGTCGTACAGCAGTGTAGCACAGTGCTGGGGCGATCACAAAGTTTTGACACACAATAGCCAAGGTTCAGACGCAACGATTTGGCAGCCGCGTCCACATCGTTTCCATTTGCCCCATCCGGATTCTGGCCGGGGCACATCATTTTAATTTAGCACTGCCCGAAAGTCCGTGCATCAGGGGTAATAGCCTAGCTAAATTTATAACCCTAAATACCGGACTACTGCTATTTGCATGCCATACAGAAAGAGAGCTGAATCCACAAGAACTTTTTTTTTA